TCTCTGAGAGCAGCTCGGAAGAGAGGGGCGGGGTCAGCAGAGCTCATTAACATTTAAAGGAAAATGCTACAAAACGGCTTGCTCTGAAAAGAGCTGTTTTTGACAGGGTAAAAAGGTGTTTTTTTCACTACCATTGAGAAATTTTAACCAAACTATGTTACAGAATTTTCATTAAGACCCTAAAGAATCATATCAACTTGTGGAAAATGGGCATCGGATGACCCCTTTAATGATTTGGACGCCATGTATTCAAGGTGTAGGAAAAATACAGCTTTTTCTTGATGGTTACATCACAAAATGTTTTGTTGAAAATGGTGTGAAAGTTCTTCAAAATAATATAGAACCATCGTGAATACTTTTCTAAGAGCTTGTTGTGTTTTAAACTCCATTTTTTCATCAATGACCCATAACTCTGAAATGACTTCATACTTTCAATCCTTTGACTGTAAACAGTTCCCAATGGGTAATATCAGATACCATGTTCTATTTTATTACATTTTTTGTCAGAAAATGCATTGCAAATGGTCTTATTTGACTTTAAACAGAATAATTCTCATTAGCCGCTGACTAACGATGGATGTAAAAAAAGAAAATCTGTAAAGAATATCTGTGATTCAAAGTGCCGCTGCCTGTTTAACACTAATGGAATGGCTCTTCAGAGAGCGCTCTGACTCTCAAGGTCACAGACATGGTCGTGCATTCAGTGTGGAAAGAAGGAGAATCTGTGTCTTTTTCAGTGGGGAGCCATCTTGCCTTCGCTGAGGTCTGCTGTTACCGTGACCCTGCCGAGGGTGATTGTCACACTTGCTCTGTCACGCTTCAGGCGTTGCTTTGGTGACAGTAAGAACTTTGATCTATGGAACCTCTGACTGATCTCACTTCACCGTGATAAAGATACTTCATCACTCTCTCTCATTCTCTTTATTCACCTTGTTAAAGGAATAATTTGCCCCAAAATGAAAATTCTGTCATCATTTACTCACTCTCATGCCATTCAAAACCCCTGCGACTTTCTTTTTATGGAATCCAAAAGGTGCCTTTTAAAAAAAATATATATACTAGCTGCTCTTTTCCATACATTGAAAGCCAGTGGGGAAAGTATTATAAGAATGGGCCATATAACTTGTGCTCTCTATTCTATAAAAGAAAGTTGCTCTCAGATAGGTTGCATAAGGTTTGGCGTCAATGACTTTTGGTCATCGAATCAAAAACATGTCTAAAACATTTGATTTGATTTGAATCTTCTGGAGGAGAAGATTTTCAATGAATATCATATGTGACCCAGGAGCACAAAACCAGTCATAAGGGTCCTTTTTTTGAAATTGAGATTTATGCATTATCTGAAAGATGAATAAATAAGCTTTCCATTGATGTATGGTTTGTTAGGAGATACATCTATTTGAAAATCTGGAATCTGAGCGTGCAAAAAAATGTAAATATAGAGAAAATTGCCTTTAAAGTTTTCCAAATGAAGTTCTTAGCAATACATATTACTAATCAAAAATGAAATTTTGATATATTTACGGTAGGAAATTTACAAAATATCTTCATGGAACATGATCTTTACTTAATATCTTAATGATTTTTGGCATAAAAGAAAAATTGATCATTTTGACCCATACAGTTTATTGTTGGCTATTGGTACAAATATACCCGTGCTACTTATGACTGGTTTTGTGCTCCAGGGTCACATATGTTTGTCACACAACTATTGTATGGATTAAATTCAGTGAATATCAGCTATTAGTCACACAAAGCTTTTGTATGGAGTTGAAGACTTATAATGTAATGCATGAGCTGTATTGACTACTTTTTAAGAATTTCAGTGAATATCGTCTGTTAGTCACACAAAACTATTTTATGAATTTAAAGACTTGTAACATTTTCAATGAATATCGTTTGTTAGTCACGCAAAACTATTGTATGGATTTGAAGACTTATAATGTAAGAATTTCAGTTAATATCATCTATTAGTCACACAAAGCTATTTTATGAATTTAAAGACTTATAACATTTTCAATGAATATCGTTTGTTCGTCACACAAAACTATTGTGTGAATTTGAAGAATTATAATGTAAAAATTTCAGTGAATATCATCAGTTAGTCACATAAAGCTACTGTATGGATTTAAAGACTTATAATGTAATATATTTGGTGAATATCGTCTGTCCATCAAACAAAACTATTATATGGTTTGAAAACCTTTTCAGAGAATATTGTCTGTTCGTCTAAAACTATTGTATGCAAGACTTCTAATGCAGTGCATGAGTTGTGTTGACTGCTTTTTTGATGCTTTTAATGGAGCTTGACAGCACCTGTTCCCTTTCACTTTCATTATATGGAAAAGAACAGCCAGAATTTTCTTCAGCTTTTGTGATCCACATAAGAAAGAAAATCATACTGGTTTAGAACGACATGTGGGTGAGTAAATGATGACTGAAAGATAAACCTTCGAATTGAGGACCAAATTAGAGGACAGGCTTTCTTTTGAGGATCCAGAAAGATGATATGTAGCCCATTATCCTCAATATACAGCGAGCTCATAAGGAACAGAGTAAAAGCAAAGATTCTCTAGTCTTTCATTTTAATGACAAATGAATCTTTATTATCTTCTTAGTCCTGCGTGGGACTCAGCTCCGCCGTTCTGCCGGATAAATCGCCCTCCTTGTTATATTGGTGTCTCATGACAGGTAGCCTGAATGCACAATGAACTGTATTAGGCATTCAAACTGAGGAAGAAACCTATTAATATCAATGCATTCCTAGCTTTTTGTTTATTCCATTCTGAATATTATATTAGTCATGTTTGCTGTTTACCACAACTAGAAGTGTTTTGTTTCGCCTGACAAGAAAAATGTTGTTCATATATCTGTTTGTTAATTTTTTTCGAGTAAGATCATACACATACAAACTGGATACTCGGTTCAGAAGGCCATTTAAAAAAGGAGCCAACAATCTATTGTCTTTATTTTATACCAAAGCTTAAAATAATACTAATAATAAAAAAGCCCTAAAACTATGTTTTCAACTGACGTGACAGTCGGTGCAGTATCCTCTGCGGGCCTACATCAAAGTCTGCATGAGCTCTCTTTCTCTGGAGAGTTGGATGAAACGACTGCGTTTGATTTGCACGTTCGGAAGAGAGCAATCCTGCTACTCGAACCGCCATTTATTTCGAGCATTGGAGTAATGGGGTTCTATAACACTTTTATAAAGCAGCTACTTTCACAGCACAGACGGATGTAAACTTCATAATTAGCTGTCAGAGAAAGAGAGAGAGAACGTAGCGGGTGCAAAACGCATCCGAATGTGGCCCTTTTCTTTCCATGACTGTTCTGACGCAAGTGAAACATGTCTTCTCTTTCATCCCTCATGCAATGACCAGGTTGAGATTGACAGCGCTCTGATCTTCGTGGAAAACGAGAGCTTGTGCTAGAGCTAGGGAATAAGAGACAGACCTGTACCTTAGATGTCTTAGATGTGCGGTTATAATAATCTGTGCTTTGTTATGTACGGATATCCTTGGGGTGTGGATATTTAATGTGCTTTATGTCCTTAGAGGGTCAGATAATACTTTTTTTATTATTTATTCTCCCCTCCCCCGAGCTTCACTTTTTTTTCCCACCGGAAATAATATGTATATTTCTGACCCCTTTCTAATCCTTAGAATTAAGCAGGCTGTTTATAATGTGTTCTTAAAGGGATATATAGTTTACTTAAAATAATGTACTTTTCATCATTAGCTGTGTCTTATATCGAAGGCTGTACCCCCCTGGGGTCACATTTGTCGGTCTCATTTCAGAGAACCATTATAAAATTCACTATTCAAAACTCACATGTTAGATTTAAATTGCTGTAATTTCTGTCTTACTTTGGAAAGTAATGGTTGCTTTTCTGAAATGAGACAGCCTTGATGACGTATGTGGCTGACAAATGCGACCTCCAGAGGGTGCAGCCTTGGAGAATGAGGCAATTTACTCACCCTCATGTCTTGACTTTTCCCAACCAACCAATCAACCAACCACCCACCCAACCAACCAACCCATTTATTAATGTGTTTTTGAAATGATCACATTTTCCAAAATGTGTGTTCTTTTGTGTTCCATAAATTCATGCAGGTTTAGAATGATTAGGGGAAGTAAATGATGACAGTTTTTTTTTTTTTTTTGAGTGAACTATCCCTTTAAGACTTGTAAACATTCTTATCTGATCACACATTCAACATTCAATGATCATAGTTTACACGATTTTGAAACTACATCTCTATCACCATACAATACCACCTGTGTCAGAAACTTGGGTGTTTGGTTTGACAATAACCTTAAATTTGACAAGCAGATAAGTACCGTTGTTAAGTCCTGTTTTTATTATATCCGGCTTCTCTCCAAAGTGAAGTCAATTCTATCATTAAAGAAGCTTGAAATAGCAATACATGCATTTGTTACATCCAGGCTTGACTACTGTAATTCTCTGTATGTTGGTGTTCCTCAGTCCTGTGTTTCTCGTCTGCAGTTAGTCCAGAATGCAGCAGCTCGGCTTCTTACTGGAAAGTGCAAATATGAGACTGTTACACCGGTTTTAATATCACTTCATTGGCTTCCAGTAAAGTACAGAATTGATTTTAAAATTCTACTTTTTGTTTTTAAATCTCTTCACAATTTGGCCCCACTGTACTTAACCGAGTTGTTACAGCCTCATACTTTGTCGAGATCGCTAAGATCTACTAATTCTGACCTGCTGCATGTTCCTAGGACAAGGCTAAAAACGAGAGGTGACCGTGCCTTTTCTGTTGTCGGCCCAAAACTTTGGAATAGTCTCCCCTCTCACATCAGAACTGCCCCAACCTTGTCTGTTTTTAAATCCACTCTAAAGACCTATTTATTTTCGTTGGCGTTCGATATCCCATGACAAATTGTCTTTGACTTTGTTCTCAGGAACGCCACACATTTTACAGCTTGTGTATATTCTGTGTATATTTAATGTGTAATTTTGCAATTTGCCTATTGTTGGTATAGTGTTGTAAAGCACTTTGGTCAACTCCGGTTGTTTTTAAACTGTGCTATATAAATAAAATTGTATTGTATTGTATTATCTCATGTAAAATTAATCTTTTAGTGTACTTACTAGAGGGGTTTGCTGTCAAGTCCAGTACAGTTTGCACTGGCCTATTCCTCAACTGCAGAGCTGTAGGTGCTACACACAGCCAGAAACAACACAGAGTTGGACAGACTTCTGCTCATTTTACTCTTTTCCTTCCCTTCAATATTGTTATCTGTCTTATTTCCTTCTTGAGTTGTGGATTACCCAGTTAGGTTTGTCCGGCAAAGTGTTACGATTTGGTGTCTCTATGTCAGAAATTCATCAGAATGCTGTTTTTTTTTCAGCGTAGTTGGGTTTTTGATTCCAGTATTTTTTCATAGAACATTGAAGTCTTTTATTTCAAAAGATGAAGGAAATTGTGATGCCTCAGAAGATGACCCCTTTAAGGAAATCATGAATGAGCTGCATGCATATGTGTCATCATCGCACAGCAAAACTAAAGATAAGCCATATATTGTGGGTCAGACATGCACACTGCTTTGGAAACACACAGTCTGCCCTCAGCCATCTGTCACAACACACACAGAGCAGTTCATATTTGAGCAGAGACGTCCCCTTTGTGTCTTATAAATCTTGTTTGCCACGTCTGTTTGTTTGCATTTGAACAACAGTAATGAGCTGTAGATTATGTGGCTCTTCGCTGTGTGTTCCGTCCTTAATTATGACCATAATAATCCAATTAGAGCATTAGCGGTGCCGTGAGAGGGAGTGCCTGCAGCAGTGGCCACCTCATTACAGAGCACCTTTCCCTGATTCACAAATCCAGCCGATGATCACGCTCTGACTGGCTTTGGGTTTGTCATGAATGAGTCTTGAAAAGCCAAATTTCATCACAGGGCTTCCATAGCACAGTCAGACGCTCGAGATAATAAGTTCTCACCGATTTTGAGAAGATTATGTGCTGGTAGTGGCACGCATAGCAGTCTAGTGCACTTCAAATTAACTCATCCTCATCTTTACTCCTTCTCCCGATCTATGGATCTGTTTCAAAATGTGGTGATCTGCATAGGTGACATTTCAAGACACCGAAGATGCACTTCGTAAAGGCTGTTCTGAACAGTTACGCTGCATTATGAGATGCCACATTTTGGCCTCAATCTAAGGCAGCATCACATGTATCCTATAACTCATTGCAACAAACGTGAAAATGGAGCACTTACCCCCAGGGTGAACCTTCGAACTCTGTTCAAAAATGCATAATGCGGTAGGAGGCAGTTCTGTTTGAATGGAAGTCAATGGGGGAGATGTAGAGTGAAGAGTGAAAAAATAAAGAACGTAATGTAAAAAAAAAAAAAGAGAAAGAGAGAGGGAGGGGGAAAAAAACAGAAAAAAAATGAATTTTTGAGAAAGGTTTGAGAAATAAAGTTGCAGTTTCAAGAAATAGTCACAATGACCTGTTTCATGTATTTGTTTGCTTATTAATACTTATAGGGCGAAACAGTTCCAAGGTTATTATAGTACTAAAACTATAATAAAAAAAAAATACTTGAATAGAATAAATAAATAAATTGCTTTTGTGTGGAGGGGAAAATAATAATAACTTTTCGAACAACAAAAGTTCCTTGCCATAAATTGTCAACATTTGGAGTGACATAAATTTTGGAGTGAGCTGTAGTTTGAGTCAGAAACTCTTTCAAACAGGTAGGATCCATTTACAGCATTGTGCATTTATATAGTCTTCAGCAGTGGTTACTGACTGTGAAGAAATTCAGAAAACGTTACAAGGCACGCGTGAAATAGACATTATGCAATTTTCAAAAGTTTGCTGCCCATAGGGAGTGTTTTAAATGACTTTAGGTATCTTTGGGGTTAGGATGCTGTCTCTGAAGGTAGTCATTCATCTGACACTCCTTCACTGCACATCTATGTTTTCTCCTCCATCGGAACAGCTCCTGCTTTAATATTTACTTTCTAGGAAATTGTTGTGAATCAAGTTCCTTGTGATAATAGTGGATGATCTCAGAGGAACACTGTTTTTTTCGTGTGAATGAAGTACTGTACAAGCTGGTTAGGCCTCTTTGCTTTATGAAATCGCTAAGGCAAACATTCCTTCAGCTCCCTGCGCTCCACTACCAGCCTTTTAATGAAAGTCAAGGCAAGACGCTGAAGATGAAAGAGCTAACTGAGGAAATCCGCGGATGTACACTCATTAAGTTCAGCTAACTCTAAATCATGTGTGTAGGATTCTCTCAATGGCTTGCATGTGTCCTGCTCTACCATACTACACCTTGCATGGCATTACATGCTTGATGCCAAATTTGCATTTTAATGCATTTATTTTTATTGCAAATGCTCCCTCACTAAAGCAGTTTGATGCAAACTCGTTAACTTCAAAAGAGCACCGTACTGAACTATGAGCAATTCACAGTGTTATCCATTGAATAAGGTAAGTAGTATGTTTTATAATTCAACATATATATTCCTATGAGAGGATGTACTCATCAGGTTCTGAATTTTGCTTTAAATCAGTATGAATTTTACATATTATGGTCATGTATCTTGTAATCAAAGCAGCAAGACGACGTATAGTTTTTGTTACTGCAGTGGCTGTGCACATTTTTCCTTTCCCCTCTCCTTCTTATACTTTGGTGTAATAGAGTCAGTCTTGTTCATTATTCAGTTTTGTAAAATAAATAGTAAACAAAGTTCCTTAAAGGCAAGTTGGCTCACTCAGCAGCCATATTCGACGGACTCCAGGCAGCTAAGACCACCAAAATAATGTTTATGGATCATATTTTGGATCAAAAATACATTTTTTATAACTTTTTATGCTCATGTAATAGGGAAAGAAAAAAGGTTAATGTGAATGTGGACCGTCTTATGCAGTCTTATACAGAAATGTGTAGGTTCTCCATACAGATAATAAGCCTGCACCACTTTGCAGAACACATGTTAAACAAGTCAAACTTGAACTTGACACATTTGGTGTTCAATCTAAAATTAGCCCAAGGGCAATTTGTCCATGTTCAGTAATTATGGTTTGGGCAGAGAGTGTGCCCGTGTCTTTAAGGTCATAAATGATTGGCATTGTGGACACAGACTATAGAGGAACATATGGGAGGTGACTTTAAGAGTGTTTGCACCTTTACCACCAAAGTTTGATCCTCTTTTGTCTCTTTTAATGCCTGAACAAGACCTCCAGGGAGACCATGGCTCTGGTCCAAAACCTAGTGAGCTGCCTATGCAGGAGGCATTTTAAGGCATCATAGTCCCACTCCTGACACAAAGGCTGTTCCACAAGGCAAGCAGAATAATTTTGGTCAAAGTCACCAACATATGTATCACAGATGAGACAGGCCCAGAATGTATTGCATTGAACTGAGTGAAGAAATTCATCCAATATGGCAAATACATTTGTTATATTTTTATAGTGATTATACGTTTATAGTGTAAATTATATTTATTTATAATATAAATCATCCATTGAATACCATTGCATTTAATTAATAAACGCTAATTAAATTCTGTTCTGAATTTTACAGAATTAAATTAAATATGGACTACTTTACCCAATGTTTGGCAATAGGAGAATGCATTGTATCAAGCTCAGTGATGAAATCCATCTAAGATGCGAACTATAAAAGTATAAAATAACATTTTTAAAATGTTTTTTTTTTTAGAGAAGCCTCTTATGCTCACCAAGGCTGCATTTATTTGATCAAAAATATACTAAAAACAGTAATATTGTGAAATGTTTTATTACAATTTAAATGAACTGTTTTCTATGTGAATATTTTATGAAGTATAATTTGTTTCTGTGATCAAAGTTGAATTTTCAGCATCATTACTCCAGTCTTCAGTGTCACATGATCCTTCAGAAATCATTCTAATATACTGATTTGCTGCTCAAGAAACATTTCTTCTTATTATTAATGTTGAAAACAAATGTGCTACTGTGAAAGTGAAAGACTGTTTTGTAACAATTTAAAAATCATATGTACTTATACTTTTAAACAGTTAAATGCATCCTTGCTAAATATTAATGTTTAAAAGAAAATCTTACTGACCCCAAACATTTGAACGATAATTATATACTATATTATGTTACATAAAAATATAAAATGCTACATATAAAAGTGTTACAATTCAATAGTTTATTCAATATTTATGTGGTGTATTTTTTATGCTTATTAGAGTATCACAGCTGTAATGACTTTGATTACTTAATTTTAACTGTAGGGAATTAATTATTATTAATTCATTCAGGTTTATTTCTAGCTCAGGTTTTGAAAGAACTCGATCTGAGAATTCGAGGTCCACCTCCTGGCAAATCATTAGCTCCGTTTTTTCTTTGTAAAGATAAGCAGAGCGAGACAGGAACTCATTGGAGAAAGTTGCCGCCTGGCTGGCCATGGTTCAGCTTTTTACGACTCTCATATAATGGTGTGATGTTCGGGAAATGCCTTACACAGCATTAGCAAGATGTTAACACCAAACCCTGTGGCACATTAGTTGTTGCCTATATAGAGTGTTCCAAAACAGGGCTGGCAGCTGTCTATGTAGACGGTACGCAGCAAAGCACCTCGCTAGGTTTTGTTACAGAGCCCATTTTAGCATGTCACCTACATCGTCTTCTACTTACACTCTCGCAAGCCTCTTCTCTAAAAGATCAAGATAAAGGGAGCAGACATGATCTGCCTTAGTCATCCCGATCCATTTCAAAGGGAAGAGTTGGCCTGAATAACTTTGCAACAAAACAGTCTCCCCCGCTCG